CAATGACTAAGATTGACTTTAAGTTGGACTTAACTCCTGTTGCTGCCTTCACGTGTGGCAACCCTGTTACGATATTTGTCAACTAAAGCAACAATTTGAAGTCTATCATTGCGATCTTATTGCCAGTCCCTCTCTAGCCCTCTATCGTCAGAAGAGTTTCCAATGCAGTTCCCTGAAACATGTGTCCTTTTCAGGACAAGCCATCAAGATGATGGCTGACACCTCGACCTGCGTACTCTTACTCAACGCTGAAGGCCTTACCCACTCAAAGCGAGACCTGATTGCCCATATTGCAAAGGAAAATTGAGTCAATGTTATCTGCCTCCAAGAAACATAATGTGAAACAGAAGAACAGCTTCACATCGAAGGTTTTGATCTGATCTGCTTCATACCACACAAGAAACATGGGATTGCATCCTACGTCAAACAAGGCATGAAAGCATCCACCACTGGGCGATCTGCTGTGAACTCTACAATGGAGCACCTTTAAAACTATGGGAACCCACTTCTGCAATTTGTATAAGCCATAACATGTAGATTTTGAAATCATGCTCTTCCCAAAGATGCCCCGGAACTCCTTTGTCTGCTGAGATTTCAACAGTCGCAACACTGCCTGGAGATGCCCTACCAACAAGAATGGAAAGCTCATTTTTGAATGGCTTGAATCCCAGGAGCTAATGATACAGTATGACAGGAAGGACAACCCCACATTCTACTCAGGGAGCTACAAATCATGGACTTCATTGGCCCTACCTGTCACTGGTTTCATCAAACATCAGACACACCTGCTCAAGAACTGTCCTTCCAAAGTCCCAAGTTCTGGCCACTGTCCAATCATCATCTCAAGCGACATCAAGCTTCAACTCTCCAACCTACCAAAGAAGAGATGGAATTTCAGAAAAGCTGACTGGCCGAAGTTCCAGGAACTCATAAACAACCTAACATCTTGACTGCCAGACCCCTACACCAGCAATGTGAATGACTCCTAATCTGCTTTCTGCTCCATGTTATATCATGCGGCAAAACTCTCCATCTCCAGGGGCAGAAGACACCTGTATGTTCCATGCTGGGACAAAGAATGCGACCATCTGTGTGAATCCTACACGAAGTCCAAGACCTGTTTGGTGCAGTTCTTGTCGACCTACCAGCGGCATTTGACACAGTATGGCACCGTGGCTTATACCCCAAGACCCTGCAGACCATTCCAGATATAAGAATTGTGAAATTTATCATGCTGCTTGAAACATTTAACAGCGAATGCAGTAGGAGGAGGAGACTCAGCAATGGTGTGCCGCAAGGCTCTGTCCTTGTTCTGATACTTTTCAACATCTATGTCTCTGATATGCTCAATGGGGGATGCATGCAGTATTCCTATGCAGACGACACCGCACTGGGGTTCGACAACCACTCCTTTCGAGGCAATCAAAACATCATTGGAGAAGGACCTGAAGATGCTAGCTGAGGTCTTCAACAGGTGGCATTTCAAGATGAGCATACCGAAGACTGTATCCCTCCTCTTCCATCAGGCAATCCGATGCGTCAACCGAGAGTTGAATATCTCACTAAATGGGACTAGGCTGAACTTCGACCCCACACCAAAGTACCTAGGTGTCACTCTTGATCGAAGCCTCACCTTCCACGAGCATGCCAAAGCCACAGCTCAACAGACCCAAGCCAGAGTGTTTCCCTATAGAAGCTTGCAGGGACAGGATGGGGAGCTGATTTCACCACCCTTTGCACCTCCACCCCCCTTTGCACCTTCACCCTAGCTCTCGCCTTCTCCACCGCCGCTGAGTATGCTGCAACTGCATGGAGCCCATCACCATGTTCACAAGGTTGATGTTGACCTCAATGATGCTATGAGACTAACCAGCGGAACACTCACTGCAACACCAGTCAACAACCTGCCTATACTGTCTGGCATACCACCAGCTCAGCTCAGATGAGATGCGCAGTACACTAAGCTTGCCCAAAAGCATGACAGAGATGAATGCCTTGTTCCCGACCCCTGCCTGTGAAGGACAGCGTCTCCCTAGAAGACACTTTGCAACACAAGCTGCCGAGCTGCCGCTTGAGAAGCCCCCTCCACCTTATCTACCTGGATAGTAAAACGCCGGTCAGACCAGTGGATCTCGTCTACTACCAACTTGAAGGAGTTCATACCAGAGCCCTGTGATAAACCAAGTGGCAGCAACCTCTCAAGAAGAGCCTGGGTCAACATCAGCCGTATCAGAACTGGAGTTGGCCGTACACAATATTTCGTGCAGAAAATTGGAGCTGAGCCATCGCCAAACTGTGCCTGTGGAGAGATCCAAACTGTGGATCATGTCATCCTATGAGGAGACCATCAGTTGGCTAAATAAGGACCTTCCTATTTAGATGATGTACTCCTTGTACGAACGAACAAACTATGGCAGGCCATTCATGCTACTGTTTGCTCTCACTGTTTACTGGCATAGGTCTCTCAAGAGACGTACAAACCATGTTCACAAATCTACATTATTTAGTTTTACATCTTTTTTATAGTTCATTATTGATGGACAAAAATATTATCTAAAGATCATAATTCAGAGACCAATGGTGAGAGAAATGGTTAAAGTCGATCTCAGTCTTTGTGAAACACCCCCTGTATTATTAATGGGCTCATATCTAGTTGTATTATTGTAGATGTATGGATTTTAATTCTTGGTGAATGTTATGAGGTAAAATGTATAGAACTGCATGTATTATATTATCCCTTGTCTTGTGTCAAGTGTATGTAGTATATATCCCCTTGTCAAATGCACTCTGATTTTCTTGTACAATACACCTATGGAGCCTTGCATGTGTTATATGAAGTGTAATTACGTTTCATTCAATACTACAATATATCACTTCATTCTTGCGGAAGACATTAATTTATTAAGGTAACCCCCGCCCCCCCCCCACTCAGTGTTATTTAGGGTACGCATATGCTTGTACCCTCTTTTTGAAAGCACCCCCTATCTGAGGACTGCCTATATTTCGGAACCCCCCTTTCGCGGGCTTTGCCTGCCTTGGAGACCCCCCTAAATCAGTAAAAATGCTCAATGTACCCCTCTAAATTCGGAATAATTTCTCAGGAGTCCAAAGAGATGAGAGAAAAAAAAGAAAAACACCCCCTTTTTAAAGAAATCTCCCGGTGAAAAGTCAAATACTCCCCCTTTTTTTACAATTCTCGGGCCGGATTTTGTCGCACAAAAAGTACCCCTTTATCAGACATTTTGACAACACGCATGCAGTCATTCCGACCTCTGAGTGGGGGGGCCGGGAGGTAACCATAGGTTTGATACATAATGTAGTCATGTACATGTACTGCAATGAGAATCTCATAGACCATGGTCTTAAAAGGAAAATTGCAAATTTGAGTTATATTTATGTTTTCCATGTGGAAGAAATGCATGTTTGTTTTATACACCTGTTATTGCATATACAGAGACTGAATTCATCTCTATGCCATGTCATGCACACGTATTGTGCTTTTCCCCTAATCTCACAACAAATGTGCTGTTGAAATACTTTCAATGTGTAAGTTAATCTGAGTTTTTCAATTGGGATGAAGAATGAAGTGTTCTTCAAATTCATTCAATTTTGTATTATGTTTTTCATTTCTTTCTTTCAAAAGGAAAACAGAAATGAACTGTTTTTTGTGATCATTTTCTTCTTCTTCAGACAGCATCAGAGGGTTTCATTATTCATTCCTTTATTGTAAAATATTCTTCTGTAACTCTGTATGTGTTTTCATGATTTCATTTTGTCCAACATAATGATGGGCATGTCCTTTACTAAAGGGAATTTAGGAAATTGTTGAAATTAATTGCAATTATACAGTATACCAAACATTCCTGACATGTTTAGATTTGATGTAAGATAAATAATTTTACTATTCAACTATCATTAATTTGTACTTTCAGAATCTTTTTGTACAAATTTGTCATATACTCTTGGTTGTGGTTGGAAATATGAACGACAACAACTTTTGTCTCGTTACCAACATTCTGTAAGAAATTTGTAGTGCAAAAATAGAAGAAAAAAAATTAATTAAGAATATGGACAAATTGTGGATGATTTTTGTCTCGCCTGCGTAGCAAAAAGCAAGACATAGGCGCCACTTTTCCGGTGACAGCGATGGTGGCGGCGTTAACATCAAAAACTTAACCTTAGATTAAGTTTTTGAATTTTTGATATCATTTTTAAAGTATAAGTTCTTAGTCAATGAAACTTGGACTATAGGGTTATCAAGTATCCCCAATAATGTGAGTAGAATTTCAGGTCATAAATTTAAGGTCAAAGGTCATTTCAGGTCAACAGACTTAGACTATGTTGTGGCATCATCGAAAACTTAACCTAAGGTTAAGTTTTTGAATTTTTGATATCATTTTTAAAGTATAAGTTCTTAGTCACTGAAACTTGGACTATAGGGTTATCGAGTATCCCCAATCTTGTGAGTAGAATTTCAGGTAACTAAGTTAAGGTCAAAGGTCATTTAAGGTCAGTAGACTTGAATTATGTTTTCACAACTTAATATGAGAATTAATAAATCATTTTTTTTTAAATTAATTTTGTTCATATTTCATTCAAGTTATCGATCCTGGTACAATTAATAGTAAATATTCTTCTGATGATTCTTGGTCAATATTCACTTCAAAATGCTGATTGTATTCAGAGGATTTCATTTTTGGGGCCTGCTAATGGGCCATGCTGCCTATGAATAATGTTCCAACCTCAATTTTTCATCATATTGAATTGCGTAATGCAGACGAGACCGCCCTAGAGCGTTTCCCTTGTTAACATTTTCTGTAATCTTGCCCAAATAACAGAGACCTTTCTGCGTCCTTAAATGTGGATGTATCCATACATTTGGTGTTTGTCTTGTCACGTGTCAGTAGAGAAAAGAAAGGAAAAGTATGTTCCATTGTGGTTATCATTTTGTTCCATCTTTCTTTCTTTCACTCTGGATATCTTCTAACTATCATCATCAGGTCACTGTCAACCCACAAGCTGTCAAGGATGCGTTCTGGCAGGTAACAAAATGTGTTTCCATGTTGCCAGGGACAACACAATCTATTCATGATGTGTGCTTGTATATACTGTGTCTTGAGTGGCTGGCAGATGGACAGTAAACTCTGCATTTAATGCATACATTTCTCTTCATAAATAGATCACAGTTTCACAATCATGAACCCATTCAATCAGATGATGCAAAATGCTTTTAAGAAAGAAATGCTTCTAAAAAGCTAGTATGCGCACAGTGGAAGGCTAGAATGACCCTTCTTATTCAATGCACTCTTCTCATACATCTTCCCCTTGTCACATTCAAATTAACTGCCACTAATACAGCGTAATTTAAGAATTCGGTGATGCATGCCTGAAAACAATTAGTGTTCTTACTTATTACCGTAAATACAACATTTGCCTGCTATACTTGGTAACGCTGGCAAAAACATATCTTTCTTCATGTCTTTTCCCCCTCTACTTTCTTCTGCACTTTTCTAGTGTTTTTCTTTATTTTGCCATCTTTTCTAGCAGACTTATCCTCTTGTTTTCTGAACTGTGCACACTTAGCAACTGTTGCGCCCTTTTTTCAAGTTTTGAAGAATGCGGGATAAGAATAAATTTGTCATTACTTGACAAAGGCTTAAAGCCGAAAAATATTTATACTCTGCATTCCATACTTTATTTTTAGTATCTCTTCTTCACTTTTCAATGCTTAATCAACCGATGCTGGACTATATTTACTCTATACAATTTATATATAATAATTAATAATTGAAAACATTTGAAAGAAAAGTCCTTTAGAGTTCTCTTCTTCATTATGACCGGTTTCAATTTTATTTCTTCAGATAGTGAATTCAAAATTACAATTTACACACAAATGCAACAAAATATATATATAATATATATTTATGGTTTTTACCAGTTTTGCCTGTTAACAAGATCAAATCACATTGACCCAAGTATTAAAGTAGCCCAGCACAGTCTTGGTCATAGATTTGAGAAATAAGCTCTAGAATGATAAGCTCTCTTGTGCACATGAGCTGCTGTGAATTACACGATATAGTGGCACATAAAGATGCAATTTGAAATGTAAAATGCATTCTTACAGGGATACCATTGCTGGTTGTGTCCATGCATCTTAGAGTGTAGTTAAAGTTATTTTAAGAGACAGTTTTAGTATTACATGCTCTCACTTGTGTATTATGTATGCACTTTTTGGGTATATAATGATAGCATTACAATTATGTTGAATATGAAAGAAGTAAGACTCCTGAAATCAATCACTTTCTTAGATATCAATAGACCTTTGTCACATTTTTATTATGTTTAATTTTTTAAACATTTGCATTTTTGTTTTAATTGTGGAAAGAGCCGATTACCAGTACTCATTGTAATATTATTCAGCGCTTAGCATCTTTTAGGGAAGAGGACTTTTGTTAATCCAAATTATAATATCAATTATACATATATACTGTATATAACTATTTGTTTATATCTTTGCCTTTCAGACAAAAAGCATAGCCGGCAAGAGGATTAACACAATGAAGGATAAGCTCAAATTCAGGGTAAGCAACAACAAAAAGAGGAAAACTATGAATAATGAAACATAATTAAGCTCTTTTCTATTTACAATTCTATCCTTTAAGCAGGTAATATCCATATATCTATAACTGCATATTCCATGCTTTATTTTCCTGATAAAACACCTGAGATTCATTTTCAGATGTTTATGTTTGTACTCATTGTTTGCAGCTCCCTTGCGCCTAATGTTTTATTCAATTAAATTAAAATTCATGCCTCAGGAAATGTGTGAGCAATAAAGGGCAACTTGTATATATGGACACATGTATTTGATTGCCAGATTTAGTGATTTGTTTTTTTACATCAGTGATTCATCTTCACTGTCTTTTAAAAGTACAAACTTAAAGCATGGTCTTTTTTACCCATTTTCAAGTTCAATTTCAAGTTTAAATTAATTGAAATTCTATTAAAAGAAATAAATGTAGAAATGACTCATGTTTGTGAGTGCATTAGTGAATATGCACTGTATGCAAGTTAAATGACAATCAAATAATGAATGAGACTTGTCAAGCTCATTATCTTGTTTATTATTGTGTCTCAATCCCATACGAGTCGGTAAACTGCCCCAAAATGATCACAATAGTAAACAGAATAAAAAATGGCATAAGTGTAGTGTGCCACACTTTCATGTTTGTTTTTAAAAACATACAGACGAAGTTGTACACTGTACATGTATGCCTAGTGGGTTTTGTCAAGTGCAAATACTGTTTTTCCCGCACCGCTGAACCTTCAGTTACAATGAGAAATATAAAATGGGTTCTTGAATGTAAGCAATTAATTGGTCAAATGATATGACCGTGTATGGTTCATTATTTTAAAACCTACTGTGCAAACAATTTCCCCAAACTTTACCCCCCCCCCCGCCATAAATGTGCGATTTTGGCATTTTTGTCAGGTAAGTTACTAATTTCTCAATTTTACATAAAAAAGATTCGTTATATAAAACAATTACTTCATGTTTTGAAGCCGGATAATGAATTAGACAAGTCTAGTTTAGTATTCAATTGTGACTTAACCTGCGTGCAATGCATATTCACTAATTCACTCGCCAACGTGAATATTTGTAACAATGGACCACCTGCTGTTTTCTGCAATGGTTTACTGAGTGACGTAGTGTGCTGGAGCCTTTTACACTTCACGGGGGTGTTTCACAAAGATTCTAAGTTGAACTTAACTCTAAGTTGGACTGAAATATTATTGACAGCCATTTGTAGCCTTATAATGAAATATATTCAAAAGCAAAAATTTAAGAATTTTAGACTTTTCATAAATTTTCAAGAACATGAACTTTCCAATGATGATAGAAAATATGAATGATTTGAATCAACATTTTATGCCTTTTAAAATAACTTTAACAAAATATTTTTCAAGGATGCTAATGGCTTTTGTTAATTGTTAAGTCCAACTTAGAGATAAGTTCAACTTAGGATCTTTGTGAAACACCCCCGTGGTTTGTGTTGTGTTTTGCTCATTAGGAGAGTGAGGATATTTTATCAGTTCGGAGGGACCAGCCTGAGATATCCCGCCCTATCACCAGGAGTACACCCTCATCACCCTCATCTAGCCCTGTACTCTCAAGAAGGAAACCCACATCAGCATCTGCACAGGTATCATTCATAGCTAGTTAGTTAGGGCCCAAATGTATTCCTTCACCTCCTTGGTCCAACTCATATGGTTCTAAGTCCCATTGGCATTGTGTCATGTTGGTCCCCGGTCACACTGTTCCTGGTTCTATTGGTCCTTCTACGTGTAGTTCTACATCCCATTGGATTTTGAACACATGTATTTTTTTTCACCCTTCATTTTATCTCTTTTCCTTGCCTATCCCTTTCCATTTTTCTTTTCCTTGTTTTCCTTTCTCCTTCCTCTTCTTTTTTACTTCCCTTCTCTCCTCTTTTCCCCTTCTCTTATTCCTCTCCATCGCTCTCCCCTTCACCTCCTCACCTTTCCACATCTTCCCCCATTCTTTCACCCCATTAAACCTTTCTACTCCCTGTTCCCTTCCCTCTCCTACCCCTCTCCCCATTCTCCTCCCCGTCTCCTTTCTCTTCCCTTTCCCCTCCCATGATACTCTCTCCCTCCCATAATCCAATCTCCCCTTTCCCCTCTCCCCTTTCCCCCTCTCCTTTTGTGTTTTCCCTATCCCCGCACCTTTCACATCTGGAGCTTCCTACCATTAACATCTCATCTGTTAAGGAAAACTGAAAGTGATTTCATTATGGATTAAAAAAAAAGAGAGATATGATTGGGGGGGGGGGGGAGGGTAGAGGGGTTTGGTCTCACATGTATTTTATATTTTGCCAGTTTGCTAATGCACTTGCATGTAATGTACAAGTGTTAGTTCCAGTACAACAAACTTCCTTTTCAAAATTGTATTTACTTCATGCTCAATTCAAGTTCAAATTTCAATATGCAAGAGTAATTTATACTTTTTAAAATTTCTTTCTTCTAAATATTTTTATATATTGGCTTGGTCTTGAAATGAAGGCGCAGTGTAATATCTCTTGGAAAGAGGTGAATATTATGAAATTACACTAGAAAAATAAATAATACAAAAATTAGAACGGCCCCCGAATTGTCTGTGATTTTTGCTCTTTCTGCTCTGTAATTTCTAAATTTTTGGATCAAAGTATGATACAAAAATATCTTTAAAAGGGGACATTGAACTGCTATGGAGAAACTATATACATGTAGTATAGAGTACCTAAGCTGTGACATCATACAAATCTATTTTTAGAATTTCTCAATTTCTTCTTCATTTTCCAAAAGAGCATCAAAAATAATGTCCGAATGTCGAAAAACCAATTGAATATGTTAAGTATTGGCTGAGATATGACCATCTGAATAAATATATGTCCTATGGGAACTCAGTCCTATAGTGCTCTGGTTCTTTCGATGCTCTTTTGGAAAAATGAAGAAAAAATTGAGAAATTCTAAAAATAGATTTTTGATGACGTCATACTTCACCACTCTATTAGAAGCACAATATATTACCTTACTGACTTGGTTCCTGATTTAAAAAAAAGAAGGCATTACCTTTATCTTTGCTGGAACATGTATCAAATGATATCATTATAGCAATTGAGTTTCGAGATATAGTTCAGTCACCAGAAGTTTTTCCTGATTGGTCAATCATCCCAAGGAGCTCCAAAAAGTTCCCTCCCATAGAGCTTGTACATGGGAAGGAACTATTCGAAGCTCCATAATTTGAACCTATGACCCCGCTCATGTGTGAGTGTGTCACAGCTATCTCTCTCCATACAGTATGGATGTCAAGTCATTATCTATCCCCATGTTTTAATCAGAGTTCTCACCGACCAAGGACTTTTATGCTTCCTTCACAGCCTAAGGACAGAGTTGGTGATAAGTAAGTATTCTTCAGGATTATTCCTTCACTTAATTTTACTAATTCTTGGTTGTTTTTCTAGAAGGCTTTGTCATGATGGAGTTCTGGGATACAAGATGCTGGGATGGATGAGGGGGTTACTATCCACTTGCTCTGTCTCCCCCTTGCCCAGAAAGTGTGATGGGGTGTCTAAAGTTCACGCGCATTTCAAAAAATTAACGAATGTGTTATTCGATCCATGATTTATCATATTTTACACAAATTTATTTATATTTTGATTAATCACCACCCAATGAACAGCAACATTTTAAAACTTCAAATGGGTGAAACTAGAAAATTTATTGTCAAAAGTACTTAGGCGATATCGCGATTTCAAATTCATTGTCGGATCAGAATGCGGTACAACTGTAGAAAAAGTCATTAAAGCGGTGCGTCCTCCAAGTCACCATATCAAGTGGTAGAAACTTTTTTGAATTTTGCAAATGTTGAAATTTCCTGTCCTGATATTACTGGAGAAAAACGAAATTCTGTTGATTTACATTTACATTTACAGAAGGAGCATCAGATATTGGAAGAAGAGGTATTCTCTGTTTGATGTTTTGATTAAAAAGTAAATGGCATGTCTGCACAGACTTTTGAAAAAGGAGACAAAACTCCTTTTGAGATTAATAAAGCAAGCATCATTTTGTTCCACTACAGAATAATATTCTGTCACTTTTTGGAACCTTTTCTTGTCTATTTAAAAAAAAGAGTTAGTGTATAGCTGCTCTTGCTTCCCAGAACTCCATTTTCCCTTGTGGGAATCCTGTTATCTGCCATAGTCAATTATTTTGGGGCTTTTCAGTGGCTTTACTCAATGCTGCATCCGATTTGGTGAAGTTTCACAAGACCAATCACCCATGAGACCAATGACCTACATGACCAATCACCCATGACACACAAGACCAATCACCCATGAGACCAATGACCTACAAGACCAATGTCCCATGAGACCAATACCCTATGAGACCAATAATCTATGAGACCAATGACCCATGACACACAAGACCAATCACCCATGAGACCAATGACCTACAAGACCAATGTCCCATGAGACCAATGACCTATGAGACCAATGACCCTTGAGACCAATGACCCATGAGACCAATGACCCATGAGACCAATGACCCTTGAGACCAATACCCTATAAGACCAATAATCTATGAGACCAATGACCCATGACACACAAGACCAATCACCCATGAGACCAATGACCTACAAGACCAATGTCCCATGAGACCAATGACCTATGAGACCAATGTCCCATGAGACCAATGACCCTTGAGACCAATGACCCATGAGACCAATGACCCTTGAGACCAATGACCCATGAGACCAATGACCCGTGAGACCAATGACCCTTGAGACCAATGACCTTTGAGACCAATGACCCATGAGACCAATGACCCATGAGACCAATAATCTATGAGACCAATGACCCATGACACACAAGACCAATCACCCATGAGACCAATGACCTACAAGACCAATGTCCCATGAGACCAATGACCTATGAGACCAATGACCCTTGAGACCAATGACCCATGAGACCAATGGCCCATGAGACCAATGACCCTTGAGACCAATAACCTATGAGACCAATAATCTATGAGACCAATGACCCATGACACACAAGACCAATCACCCATGAGACCAATGACCTACAAGACCAATGTACCATGAGACCAATGACCTATGAGACCAATGTCCCATGAGACCAATGACCCTTGAGACCAATGACCCATGAGACCAATGACCCTTGAGACCAATGACCCATGAGACCAATGACCCGTGAGACCAATGACCCTTGAGACCAATGACCTTTGAGACCAATGACCCATGAGACCAATGACCCATGAGACCAATGACCCATGAGACAAATGACCCTTGAGACCAATGACCCTTGAGACCAATGACCTGTGAGACCAATGACCTTTGAGACCAATGACCCATGAGACCAATGACCCTTGAGACCAATGACCCTTGAGACCAATAGAGTAACAAAGCTGTGACGTCATAAAAATCTATTTTTAGAATTTCTCAACTTTTTCTTCATTTTCCGAAAGAGCATCAAATATAATGTCCAAATGTCAAAAACCAATTGAATATGTTAAGTATTGGCTGAGATATGACCATCTGAATTAATGTATTTCCTATAGGAACTCAGTGTTATATGCTCTGGCTCCTAATGGTTAGGAGCCAGAGCATGTTTTTGATGCTCTTTCGGAAAATGTAGAAATAATTGAGAAATTCCAAAAATAGATTTTTGATGACGTCACACTTCACCACTCTATGACCTATGAGACCAATGACCCATGAGACCAACAGCCTAAGAGACAGTGACACTCCATGAGACTGACAATGTCAATCTTATGAGCCTTGTAGCTGCTTTCAGAGAGCTCACCAGACTGACGACCAACAAGATCATCACTCCATATGTGTGTCTTTGTTTGGTCGGTATTCACCATCTCTATATTTCCTTAAATACATCTTGTTCTCATGGGCTGTCAGGTTTTGTTGTTGGTCCCATGGGTTATCATTCTACTGGGATATCCCTGATCAATTTTCAAATGACTTCTTGTGCCTCCAGATTTTCTTTTGAAACTTATTGAGAAGCCTTCTATTTATTGGCCATGGTAGATAAAGGCTTATTTATTCAAGCTTCTATTATTTTGGGTGATTGGTACCATGGGTTATCAGTCTACTGGGATATCCCTGATCAATTTTCAAATGACTTCTTGTGCCTCCAGATTTTCTTTTGAAACTTATTGAGAAGCCCTCTATTTATTGGCCATGGTAGATAAAGGCTTATTTATTCAAGCTTCTATTATTTTGGGTCATTTTAATTGGAATATATATTTCCCTTGCTGCCTTCCTTATGACCTTCCAATATTTATGGGTTTTTTTGAAGTGTTTCTTTGCTGTTTTCTCATTTCACTTGCCTTTTGTATTTATTTTCCCTGCTGCCTCCCTTTTGAGCATTTCAATATTTATTGTTTTGTTTCAAGTGTTTCCTGTTTTTGTTTGCTTCCCTTTACTTTTGTTATTCTCCATTTGCTCAATTATGTTTATTGCGAAATGTACAAGAATATTGAGACATATGCATATATGTAGACAAAAGCTTTTTCTTTGGGCAACTTTTTCTGGGTTTCCCTCTTTTTATTGGAATTATGTCATTAGGAATTTTCAGTGGAACTTAGGAAAATAAAACACTTGTTTAACTTAGTCCTTGTTCCTTTTTACCTTAAGTCTGTCTCTTTGTTTATATTGTGCTTTCTTTTCTTGATTGCTTTTTTGTTGTTGTATCCTTTCAGTTGCGTGAAGTGTAATATACATGTACTACAGAGCATTGAGACATATTGTCGACAACTAAAATAGGAGAAAGGCAAATGAAGAGTGATTTTTTTCTGGGGGGGGGGGGGGGTTAAAAAGGAATTACACCATGTAGAAGACTTCACATCTGAAACACAGGTTTCATAATCATCTGGGTTTTCTGGTTAATTAAGAACTCATGTCAAGTTGTTGCATCACAAATTGATTTAATTATTTTCTTTTGAAAACTGAGTCTGTTTGGAGCCAGAGGAGTATTAGCTCTGTATAAAATTGTCTGGCTCCTAACAGACAATATTTCTTTGCATAATAAAGAAAAAGAGCTGTAAATCAGTGTAATTTAAATTACTTTTATGTTTGCCATGAGAAAAAAGTGTGTCACTTTTTTAATTATTTAGTTTTAGATCTTAGTTTTTTAGTTTTAGAAATATAACCCTTTTCAAACTTTTCAGCTTTTAGTTTGCTCCTTGCATGAGAAAGAACACAATGCAGTAATGCTGTGCTGTAGAATGAGAACAACTAATTAATTGTGGCCTACACAATATGAAAACTGAAGTACATTATACATGTACATGAACCATTGCTCCATACATGTTTTCTTTATAGTATTGTCGTGTACTGTATGTACTTATTTTGTAACTTTGTTACCAGTGTACACTATTATGCAATACAATTGTTTTATGTACGTTTTTTTTAAATTTTGTTAGCATTTTAGTTTGAGTTATTTTCATATGGGGATTTTTTTTTATTGTAATAATAATGCTGAGGATCAATGCCACATGTAGATACTAACATGGCGAAAATGTACTTTTTGCTCCTTTTACTCTCATCTATATAATCTAAAAACACATGGTAATTTGGGAGATATTTCTCAACCTTGCCACAATGCTGTATTCACTGGAAAAGTACACCACCTGTGATTTCTGCCTGGATCCACATTTACTGTGCTATCATATTTTATGTTGCTTTTCACTATTTGATACGAAAGGGCTGCACATTACTGAAAGAGTGATCCATCATTTACCCCAGCGACCATTTCTCTGGAGAGATTGATATTACTCCCATCTCTGTTCATGAGAGAAGGGCACTTGTAAGTTTGTGACTGATTAGAGGACTTGCAATCTCTATGGATCAGACCACCTCTTTAAAGAAATGGCCTAGATTTGCAAGTACATCTAGCTACAATCTTGCAAGTTGCCTGTAAGCTGTGTTCAAGCCTAATTGTTGGTTATAAATCACCAATAACTATAACAATAGCATAATACTGGTTAAAACAAAATCATTCTTTGTAGAAACGTTATTTGATCCAATCAAAGTAGTGCTTAATCCTGAAACTGGTAACATGTATACCTTTTCTACATATACTAATTTTTTGGGTCAACATTTTCATTATCGTTATTGCTGATATATGACCAACTCTTAAAACCATTTGCAAAATAACAATTTTATCTATGATTTGCGGGGCTCCATGTACTTCTGTCAATGTGTCATGTTTTGGGTGGATGGCCATTGCTTTCAATTTGACAGGGGGCGTGGAACCAGACACTATGAAGTTCTTGAGGTGGATGGAGCCGAACCAATGACCCTAGAGCAGTTCTTGAGGGACGATGCTTCGCTGCCTGCCAGATATAGCAGTATGGATCTTATGCCTTCTGTGCAACCGATACTTAACAAGTTCAATGCCTCTTCGCCACAGCAGCAGCAGCCTTCGGCAGAAAAGCAAGATAAAGCTGGACAGGTAATTTGACATGAATGAGTGATACTTCTTTTTACCTCTTCTGTACCATGGGCTGCAAATGCTGCTCAAGATTTTGATTGTTGAAGATTGTTTTGTGACTGAGAATGGCTTTTCACTCAGGTGTTAAATGGGTACACGGTAGGATGCGACCATCATTGTTGGTCAAACAGTTTTTTGAACGTCAAGTAAGGCCTGGCTGGAATGCTCCCCAGGGAGTGGAGATTGTGCACACAGTGTGAGCGGTGTGAGCAAGTATTGAATCCAATGACCGGGGTAATAGTATATCTGTAAAGCGCTTAGAGACATTGTAGATGTATTAAGCGCTATATAAAAGCGGAAAATTATTGTCATTCTTTTCTTCCTATAACAGAAACACAACTTCATTGCCATTTATGCAGTTTTTTAGTTGAAGTACAAGTATGTATTACATATCCATTTTACATACTGCTATATGAAAAAAGGAAACTTATTTGAGGTATGTTGCTCACTACACAACAAATGAGCATTTCATGAGCGCAGACATTTTGATTGATTTTACCCACTGATATAGAATTCTGAGTATTAATCAGTTTTATTCATTAAAGGTACTGTATTCCCTTTTGCAGCCAACATCAAATTCTGTTAAACTTTGCAGGAATTATGAAAATGTCACGTATGTCCTATCTGTGAAATGTAAACATCATATTATGCAAGGAAACCCGTTAACTTGCTCGACTTCACTGTCGGACACTATTGAGTGACTGACTAGCCTTTTTTTCCTTCTTTGGTAATAACATACAAAAAATGAGTTGTAAAGGTACATGAGCATTTGTCTTCATCAATAACCCACTTCATGTAATGGCCAAAGTTAAACAGACTGAATCTTTACTCAGCACTAAACATACGACTATCCAGTACAAGGGTCTGAAAATCAGACTGTTTACTAAAGTGATTGCAATCACTAAATGGCAATATGATGAGGGCACAGACAGATATTGATGCATATTTTTAGAGGCTTGTTTCCATTTGATTATAAAACATTTTAGAACCCTAAATTAAGCATCTACAATCAGACAAGGCAATATTACATATCATTTCAGTGAAGTTTGTTGCAGTTTAAATGCCACTATCCACATTTCAAAGGATTTCATGCAGGCATGAAGTAAGGAAAGCTTCAGTCGTTGAAGCTCCCTATGTTACTCGTATCATACATGATCACCTCCATTATTAGAAATGTCCCCTCTTTGTCATTCATTTTTTTCCATCAAAATGTATTGATAATGCACAACAATATTGTAACAGGTGCATAAAACATGTATTGTAGGATCCAAATGATACTAAGATTAAACTTACAAAATTCAAAAGGCCAAAGTTTTCATGTTATAAATTCTACAGATATTCGTGAATAAATTATATTATTTTTTTCAAATGCTGGAAAAAGTTAATAATATGGGTAATCTGTATTATAGTAACGTCACAAGACTTGTCATACTTCAAGAGTGAGATTCATGCATCACCAAGCATCAAATTTGTGTACCGGTAATTTCCTCTCTTTGGGATTGCATAGTTATACAGTTTTTGACATTGTCTTCCCTAGCTATAGAGAATAACTACCGGTAATTAAAACCTCAGTCACAAATACCGTTACGGGCTGCTACGAACGATTTTCAGACAATGGAAAAACATGATTCGTACGAATGATACGTACGTACGAACCTTTGTGACCGTAGCTTAAGATAAATGAACCTAAGGTATGTCCATAAAGTATGGACCTAAGGTATGTCCATAAAGTATGGACCTAAGGTATGTCCATAAAGTATGGATCAAAGGTATGTCCATAAAGTATGGACCTAAGATAAAGTATTCACATCAATGTTGCCATGGGTCACCGAATCGGGTGAGTGATTCTGTATAAAGGGTTCTTCCACCTGGTTGCAAGCAAGAAAGTAGGACTGTAAACATACATGATTTAGTGCTGTAGACAAGTAAGGAGAAGGTGCACAGAAACTATAGAGAGTTGTTTTGGAGCAGTTGTGGGAAGCACATACCGGTACTTGATTGATTGATTTGTTTTATTGTCCACATTAAATGGAAATTCTTTTTTCACATGGTTACAAGGTACATACAGTACATAAAGCATATGTCCATTGAACACATTTTAAATTACACATTGCTAATTAATCACCAAGGAGTGTGTATGTGGGTTTTTCTGTGTATGGCAAAATAAAAAGAACTACATTTATGCATATTACTGGTATTTCAACAAATTTACTATTTAAACATTGCCTCTGTGGACATTTTTTGTAGAGTCCTGCAATAAATAATTTTAGCCTGTAGGACCTGTGTACTTGTGGTGTAATTAGGGACTTTTAGATTTGCATGGACTGATACGTGTGATGTCCATTCAAGGCAGTGCATTAAAAGGAAGGTCGATCGTAGCAATCCAATATTGTGCAAATCTAAAAGTCCCTGTTGTGGTGTAATCTACTAGTACTACTAGATTCCTGACCTTAATCTGTGACCCAACATTATCTAACCGTAAAGCTGAGCTAACGCCCAATCAGGGCATAAGTCACTGGCGTACCTATGGGGGGGGGGGCAGGGGGGGCAGAGTGCCCCCCCCCCCAGACGGGCTCCAGGGGAAAAAAAAAGAAAAAGGGGAAAGAAAAGAAAAGAAAGGGAAAGGAAAGAAAGAGAAAAAAGGAAAAAAAAGGAAAGAAAAAAGGAAGAAGAAGAGAAAAGGAAGAAAAAGGGAAAAGAAAAGGAAAGGAATAAAAATGGGAAAAAAAAATAAAGAACATGGCCGTAAGCACCAGAGGGGGGGGGGGCAGTTGACTCCAGATATTTTGAAATCGTACAGTTTTTTTCCTGAAAATGTAGTGTAGGCCTATACCAAATCCTTCAATTCTACTTTTGAAAATGCAAAAGTACCCTCATGACCAGTTCGGTCGCTCGAACTCCTTTCACTCCTTTTGCTTTTGAGATTCTTCGAAAACTTTTAACGCATCTTTCCCCCTTCCCCATCAGAAAAATATTCCGCATACGGCCCTGAAAAATTAAAACAAATGAAAATAGGAAAATATAAGTGATATAACAAATTTGAAACTCTTCGCTGGCGCGAACTGCTTTGCTAGCCTATTTTGTATTAAATGTTTTCACTTGCTCGTCCCCCTGAAAAGAGAAAAGGATTAGTATTGCCTAGAATACAATTGTGCCTGCCCCGACGGGCCCCGACCTGCAACCATGGCAACAATAACACACAATATATGTACCAAATGTTACTAAAAGAGACTAATTCATTTTTCTCGCTCGCTACACTCGCTCGCGAATAAAATGAATAGACATTGCTTTGGAAACAATTGTGCCCACCCTTGACCTGCAACAATATCATTAAAAATGGAAGAGTTTTTTCGCCCTCTCGCCAAAAAGGAATTGAATCGCGTTAAACGCGATTGCGTCCATCCTGACCTGCACCAATAAAAACAAGTTTATTTATTAATTTCTATTAAAAGAGAATTTATTTTTTTTGCTTGCTCGCTATGCTCGCTCGCCAAAATGGAATTGACACCGCTAACGTACCCGCCCCAACCTGCAACAACCAGTTAATAATTATGTACGAAACGTTATTCAAAGAAGTTTTGGTGTGCTCGTGCTCGCCAAAACGGAATTAACATCACCTTAGACATGATTGTGTAAGCCCTGCCCTGCAACAAAAAAATCTGAAATTTATGAACCAATTATCATTACAAAAATTTTGCTCGCTCGCTACGCTCGCTCGCCAAAATAGAAATAACACCGCTTTTAATAATCACGTCCCTGACATGGAACAATTAAACCAAGTTTATATACCATATTTTCCCTATAAAGAGAAGTGATTTTTTTTTGCTCGCTCGCTACGCTCGCTCGCCAAAATAGAATTAACACCACTTTTAATAATCACGTCCATGACATGGAACAATGAACCCAAGTTTTATGTACCATATTTTCCCTATAAAAGAAAAGTGATTTTTTTTTTCGCTCGCTACGCTCGCTAGCTCGTGGAATTATGTGCCCACCACTAACCTGTTACAATATCATTAAAAAGAGAAATGTAGGGGGTTGCCTGCCCACCAAAATGGGATTGACATTGCCTTAAACACGATTGTGCCCGCCCCCTACCTGCAACAATGAAACAAATTTTATATAGCAATTCATTGAGAGAAAGATGTATTTTCGCTCGCTAGCTAAAATGGGTATAAAATTACCCTAAACACAATATTGTTCCCGCGCCCTGCATGGGACAATTGAACCAAGTTTAAGTGGCAATTATTAAAAAAGAAGTGATTTTTTTCTTGCTCGCTACACTAGTTTGCAAAAAAAATGAAATTAACGTCGCTAACAAGTGAATGTTCCCACCCCCAACTTGCAACAATACCAGTTTATATACCAAACGTTACTTAAAGATTTTTTTTTGCTCGCTCGCTCGCTCGCTCGCCAGAAGTGAAAATTAGCATCGCCTTTTTTGTTTGTTTCGGTCGCTTGCCCCCCCTGACGGAGTACCCCAGGTACGCCACTGGCATAAGTACAATTCTTGTTTACGTCTGGATTGACAATGAGAAGTGATTTACTATTTTTGCTTCCTTTATTGACTTAATTTCAACATTGTATATGACTTCTCGTGGGGAATCAGTCATTTTTTGTTTCGCCTGCGTAGCAAAAAGCGAGACATAGGCGCCGCTTTTCCGGTGACGGCGATGGCGGCGTCAACATCAAAAACTTAACCTAAGGTTAAGTTTTTGAATTTTTAATATAATTTTTATAGTATAGGTTCTTAGTCAATGAAACTTTGATTATAGGGTAATCAAGTATCCCCAATCATGTGAGTAGAATTTCAGATCACAAAGTCAAGGTCAAAGGTCATTTTAGGTCATTAGACTTTGACTATGTTGTAGCATCATCATCGAAAACTTAACCTAAGGTTAAGTTTTTGAATTTTTGGTATAATTTTGAAAGTTTATGTTCTTAGTCAATGAAACTTGGAC